TGATCACAGAGCACAAAGTAAAGTGCATCGTAGTCCTGAGGTTCAATACTCGTATTCAAATGACTTAGATGCCTCTGCTTTGGCGATTTGTAAAGCTGTTACTTGACGTTCTTCATCTTTTTAGCCTCTTGTATCGAGTCACGGATGAAATTCAAAACGACACCATATGCTGGACTAGAACGTTCGGATGGCTTGCATACATTATGATGCGCCTGAGATAAGCGACAAAAGTAAGAATAAAAAATGCAAGCTGCATCAATGAACAACTAACCTCCTCTATGTGATAAACGGCACCCCTTTCATATACGGCAGACTGTGTCGGAACGACTATACCTCTGGCCCTACCTGCAAATTTCATGAATTTGAGTTGAATTTCCTATACAAAAGTTGTTCTAAACGTGGACAGGTCATGAAGATAGCCTCAAACGCAAAACTAGAATCTGGAAAAGCTTGAACTCTATGCATCTCGCATGCAGCTCTGATCCAAACTTGATCATTCGCTAGTGATTTGATAGAAATTTGAAAAGACCAAATAAAGAAACAATAAAGAAACTCGATTTTGACAATGAAGATGAGAAGGTTGAATCCACAGGCAATAAAATTAAAAGAGAACATACCGATAAGATTTGATAGCTTTGTTTCGACCATGCTTACAATCACGGGCACTTTATCACTGATCGAAACGAAATCCTCGTTTAGCTAAACGACAATTCTATAATTAATGGAAAGTCGTTGAATTGAACTCGATTTACCTTTTTGTTCACGGCATTCTCCTCAAATAGTAGCAACACGTCTTGAGAAGGATGCAATATAGAATAACCCCAAGCCGCTATCGGAGACCCACGATGAGGCGTCGCAATGAATAGTATGCCAACCTGAATAATCAAAATTGAAACGAGGGTACGGCGCTATTTCGGAACAAACCGTTTTAGCGGCTAGATTCGGAAGATCCAAAAGCAGGCGTTTAGCTAGCAAACCACCAAGGCTGTGGCATATGAATATTATGGGCCTTTTACCAACTCCTGCAGCTTGGAGCTGATGTTCGAAGCGATTGGCTCTAACCTAAAACAAGATATTCGATGGAAGACCCATACTGCTGCCAGATAACAATCATATTGGAATACTAGGCTGTTTACTGAAGATAATGAAGATGTATGAGACAACAGTGCCGCACAATTTGTGCCCTCCCAACCCTGTTTCGAAAAAATTTAGCAAATATGGAGTGCTAAGGTACATAGCAGCTAGTTTCTCAAAAGGCCTGTGTATAATTTATATCATCGAAAGACATTTTCAGACATCTCAATGTCAATGTAATGTTACAGTCATAAGCAATGTAAACCCACCTCCAAGCTCTCCATCGTTCCTGTGAAATGCATGAGATACGATGGATAATCTAAGCCAAGAATTCGCATCGGCTCCGCTATGTCCAAATGTAACCAGTCCTAAGACAAGCTCTGTTAACATTTTAAAATGCGAATTTCAGATAACAACCCACCTTCGGCCAGCAGTTGGACACAACGTTACTGGAGTGATCCTTCTGACGCCAAGTATAAGCAACACCACCTCGTAAACCATGAATCAAAACAATATCGACCTAGAAGGCGGAAATAATATTTGACTCAAAATCTCTTGTGATCGCTCACCAATGGTTCTTTGTCTGGCAAGAATAATTCGTAGATGTCAGATCGTAACTGGTAGTCAACAGCACCCAAAGTACTCAAAGCATTCTGGCAAATCTGAATGTTTACTTGGAATCAATGTATCAAGTTGAAAAAGGTGTAGAATGCAAATGTTTCAAAAAGAAGACTACGCAAATAATTCAATATTCCAGGATGTCAAACCTTATGAGAGATCAATCTTTCCTCCAGAGTTCTCCCGTGCACAACCATAGAAGCGAGAAGAGGTAACCATTCTGAAAAGGAAAATAGAATGTCACCATGAGCACTGAATTTTCAACTGACCTGATGTGAAGATTGAGATCGCATACGATGGATTATTGAGAGCAACATTTGAAAGCGTCTTCAATGCAAGAATTGCTAATTCCTTGTTAATATCACGAAATCTTTTGTAAAGCAAGTACAAGAGCTGTACAACTTCTGTGCCAATCTCCTTCGAGTCAAAAGGGATCTAAATCATCATAATCAAAGGGGAAATGAAAAGTAGATAAGCTTCATATACCTCTGTCCTGACATATATGAGGCGCAGCAGCTGTAACAATCTAAACACTTGGCTCGGATGGTATGTAAACCATCCTTCAGCACATGCAAGATCTTCTTCAGGGCAAGCTATTCTGAAGACTATATTCAGGCAATATCGAGCACACATCAATCGTGGCAAAATTCTTGAAAACACACCTATTCAGCCAAGCTATGCGATCTTCCCAGACTGGACCGAGATCGAACTGAATGAGAATCGATTAGAGAGCATATCAACAGTAAGATTCTCAGTACAAGGCAACTGAGAACTATTCTCTTCAACGTCCACACATAAGTTTGGGAATGTAACCTTTATTCAATAGAATAGGCGGCTGGACAGGCGACTGCTCGCACCCGCGCCTCATCTGCGTCTCTCCCG